TACATTTTTAAATGCAAATATACAACAACTCCAGCCTAAAAAATGTTCTAGCATTTGATGCGTCCACATTACAACGCCTACCACTGTACATTACCGTCGTGACAAACAACAAACCAACTTGTAAATGCCAAGTAGTCAACAACATTTTGCTCTCCTTCATTGTGGACATTTGCAATTACAAGTACTTGACAGGCGCTACGCATAGCCGCTACCGCTATAGCTCAACAATTTTCTACGCGCCACTACGCGCACTCTTCCACCAGCAGCATTGTATGCCACAAACCGCCTTTTTCAGTGAATTTTTCATAATTTTTTTCTGCAACATCCTTTGTATGGCAGCACCGTTGTTGGCGCGCACGTCTCGCATTAAATAAATTCCAATTAAGTTATGAACATGCACGTGCGCCCCTCCACCGCCGGCGCTGGCACACTGGTGCGGCACGCAAATGCTTTTTAACGCCGCTGCGGAGGCCGTCGTAAATTGTTGCCCATACGCGCGCTCACATAGCAAGCTGGCCTACCTGTCGCGTCTGTCTTTTACGGCGTCGCTTTGCACCCCTTCTCTTGTGCTCTTGTGCTCCGGTGCCTATTGTCTTTTATTGTGCATTTTATTTTTTATTCCCCAATTTGTTGTAATTTTTTTTTACTCAAAATTATTATAATTTTTTTTTTGCACACAATTTCTGCGTTACGCACGTCTTGCTGCCGCTGTTAAAAAGCCTTTCAAATTTTTGTTGTAATACTCTTCCGCTTTTTTGTTTGTCTTCGTTCGCGAAATACTTGTTTTTATGCCCACAAATAAATAATTTATTAGTTCACACCGTTTGTTCGCTCGTTGCAATTAAAAGTTGTCGAAATTCCAGTCACGTAACAATTTAAATTCGTTTTAACAGTAACGTAAGTGCTGAAGCGGTAGAAAAAGGAAAACGACGCATGCACAATCGTTACACACGCATATGCCCAGTGGTCCCAAGTGTAGTTGACTATGGCTGTCGGTCTGTCGCCCGAGCGCTAAATTTGATTTAATAAACGCTTTAAGTGGCGCTCCGCTGCATACAACTTGGTGGTAAATGCGAGGACATGAATATCAGCATTTTCCTTTGAAAACTGTTTACAATTTTTGATTTCATTCTCGAGAGCCACGATTTTGACGGCCTAAGCAACCACAGCAGTATAGAAGAGTCATGCCATAAATATGTTTCTCTATCTTTATCTATTTGCTCTCTCTCTTTAAAGTGTCCTTCTATTTCTAGTTTCTAATTCCGGCTATGGATTTTGATTTTAAGTTCCAAGCATGTTCTTTTGAGCTGTGTGGAGTGATTGACCGACACTTAGCTTCATTGACAGTAAACAATTCCAGAACATGTACGTACTCATAGATTTTATCAATACTTACGTATGTATATTGGTTCATCATCTTGCAAAACTCCAAGTAATATGAATAGAAACTCACGTTCGATAAATATCAGCGTGTGAAGTTTGGCGCAATTAGAGATCCGCGGACAAAAACAAAGAATTTCTCGTAACTTCTTCAAAAACCATTTCGAAATGCATTGAAATTTAAGAAAAACAACTGACATTTCCAAAATATGAATTCAAAAACCGATGAGTTTATGTGTCTCTCAGATTTTATCAGAATTTTTAAATTCAGAACTTATTAAGATGAGGTTTTAGACTAAAGATAAAAAGTGGAGGCTCAGATAAAACTCGTTTTTTTTCTCATACCTTCTTGGTGTCTTAAGAAATCTCTGCAGTGGTTTACTAGGTATTAGTTAAAGTCTCTAAGCACTTTGATATATACCGCAGATAAAATTATGCAGAAAGGTTTGCGGCAGGCTCAAAGGTACATACATAGATCACAGAAAAAATATAGTTTTCTGGGAAACAGCTGTTAAAAAAAAACATCTCATCTTCCATCCGAATCAACTAAAAAGTGAAAATTGATTTTTTGACACCTAAGCCCCCTTTTCGTAGACCAGGTCACATATAGTATACCAGCAGTTTTCCGATTATTATACTTGGTCTGGTATCCTAATTAGTATATTTTCTCTTTTATCTTTATTCATTATTATTTGCCTTTTTAAACCTCTATTTAGCTCTCACCTTTCATCTTTATTTCTCTCTCTTTCTTTATTTCCTTATGACTCGTTCTCAAAAAAATCGAAATTTTTTTAATTGAAGCGTGCTGAATTCAACAAAAAGCTTAATTAATCTGAGATTATATATTTCACATTAAAGAACTCGAAGACAACTTTAATTATCCATAGATATAACAGTCTCATTTGGTTAAGAATTGGTCTTTCAACTTTGCTTAATATCGAATGAAATAAATTTAAGCATTGGGTTTATAAAATAGTTAGAACATGTGGTATAGTTGAGGAAATATGCATACATTAAAGGGAGTGGAAAGCGCGAAAATAGCTTGTTGTGAAGATTGTTCCACTTTATAATTTGAGCTAGGGTCACACTACACTGTGCCAGTATTTAAAGAAAAAATATTTTTTATGATTACCTGAGAAAAGCTAAACTTAAGAAAATGTTATTTAGAGGTATTTAACAAGGTTTCTCTGCTGGTGAACTGGAAGAATTTGAGTTAGATTTAAGATTTTTTTCAATAATATCATTCGAACCCCTAGTGCGTATCTTCTCTCAATTCAGATTTCAATCACCTGAACTCGTTATTACCTCCGTTCTTAGTATATGGCCATGGTGTTGTAGCAATAATAATCCGATGATGTTGTGGCGCATTGCTACTGCTTGTTAAAATGTCGCGCGCATGAGTATAAACTCAATTGATATCTAACAGATGCGAGTGCATAAACGTGAAATAATAAAACTGAATAGTCAAAGGCTGCCGAGGGAAGCCAGATTAAGCAGATAGGCCAGTAGTGGGCCATAAAAAAATCAGCAGACTATTACAGCAGCCATGAATTCCAAAGTGAATGGCAGCATTTCATGAAGTCGATATTTCTACAAGTTTTAATTTTAATTTTTCATTTTTGTGTGCTGCAATACAGACAGACACTGTAGAGACATTTGGCCTACAGGTGGAAGCTCAGGTTGTTTTTGTTTTACGACAAGTCAGCTATGCGCTGGCTTGGAGTGAGAGATACATATCTCGCACGCGGAAACTCATATCTTTGGCATTTTATTGTCAGACGCGCGCATTTTTTCTGCTTATTTTTCGCTTCGCTTTGGAATGTCCAGCAAATATTTGCTCTCAAGCTAGATATGTTTATAAGTAAGTATAGTATTGGTGTTCCAGAGTGGCGCGATAAATGTGCCAAAGTAAGCTACATAGTTTGAAACAAACATATACCTATAGCTACCTACTTATATACAGATATAAATATATGTAATTGCTGTTAAACCGGCGCTCAGCCACTTGTAATCGGTCTGTCATGTGTGCTGCCACAAATGTCATTAGCTGCCATGCCCACTTGCTGATCGCTCGCATGCGTGTGCTTACTTTATTTTCATTTCATTTAGTTGTTGCTGCCACTTATTGCGTGGCACATGCACAATCAGGCCGTCAGTTGGCCTGCAGTTTGTTGCCTTAATGTCCATTCGGTGTAAAACGTCAAGAGAATGAAATGAGTAAAACTCAAAGCGATATCCGTACAAGCGTCAAAAGCGTATGTACATACATATATATGTATTCGTTTGGGCTTTCAACTCCGTCGGGCCTTTTGGCACCTGTGCGCTATGCAAATGGCCGTTGCACAAGTCGGTAAGGTGGCTAAGTGCAACGCTGAATGCCACACGCAAGCATAAGTCAAAGTCGCCCACAAATACAAATGCGGCGGTAGAGAGGGGTAAACTTGAATAATTAAAATAAAAACGCAGTATTTTCAGAAGCCTTAGTTTTGATTTTGGGATTGGGCGAGGAGAATCCCAAAATCAAACTAAGACTTCTTTCTTTTCTCTCCTTTAAGTATCAACCCAGAAACTCTTGTACATGTGATAGATCTTTTCTTTCTCTCTATATGTCTAGAATATATGCGGAATGAATTGTGTTAGCAGCGTATGAACTTAAGGTCCTCTTAAGTTTGAGTTCCGTCAGAATTGAGAGGAATTATTTGGATTCCAAACTTAATATGATATGTTTATTCATCGTTTGCTTCAAAATCGAAGAAAGTACGAGTATACAGTGTCTTACAAAGTAAGAAACAGTATATAAGTTGTTTTATTCCCACATTAGTTCAAGATTGATAAAAGCTTCTCGTTAGTGTGAGAATCTAGACATATCTTCTTAGGTATATTAGATGATATATGACCATTATGTCCAGCGGAAATATAATGAAACGTGGATTAAACTTTTCCTGGTTACAGCATGTTGGTGGCTCAGAAGAAATTAGCTACGCCTATGTTTTTTAATTTGCTAAGTTTTGTTTGTATATAGAAACTACAGCAGACCAATTCCAGTCAGCGGTCACCTGCTGCTAGGCAACAAGTTTTCTGCTTTGAAAAAATGCATTTGCAATGATTTGCAACCTGTTAGCAGAATAGGCAACATGTGCAACAAAGCCGCAAACATCTTAAAACAACAACAAACCATTGTGTGCTACCGCTTTTTTATGCAAATTTTATTTGGTTTCTGCTTTGTGCATAATTTTCGCATATGTCTTCAGGTTTCTTGCCTCTAAGCAACGGAACTATGCATGTGGCGTTACCGCTTTTGGTAGGTTGTAGCAATAAGCAAAATTTCCGGCGTGACCACATGTCAAATACGTGTCACATTGACAGTTTGATAGCGGCATGTGGCAAGTGAGGTGAGCGTAAGACAAAAAATACAAGGTACTTAGGTTTTGTTGTAAAATGCCATGGATTTTCTGACATCTGAAGGTTTTTAATTCTTTTTCATATTTTGTTTTGTGGCAAATTGCACTTTTATGCAACGATTAACTTAGCTTGCCACGCGGAGATGTTTCACAAGTACTACATGAAGCATATGTGTATGCTAAGTGACTCTAACTAATTAATAAGTTTACACTTACCACCAATTCTTGAACTTTACTGCATTTCGGAAGAACTGTAAGAGAAACAAAAATATATAATAATTAACAGTAATTTTTGAATGAAAAGTATGTAAAAGTAAACACAAATATGTAATAATGATATTATAGAAAGAGGAGTAACGTTACGGCGCCCAGATGCATTTTTTATAGCTTGAATGTGTGTAAAAGCTCATATATCTTGGTTTCAATCGGTGAATTTATATTTTAACTATATGCTATTGTGATTTGAGCTCAACAATTTTTCGGAGCTTATAGCGCTGCATTGGGTAATAATCCATGTCAATGGATCAGTTTGTGCAACTACATATATGCTATAACGGTCCGATCTGAACAATTTCTTCAGATGCCTAAGATAGTAATCCATGCCAAATTTTATGAAGATATCTTGTCAAATGACAAATCTTTCTATCAAAACAATTTCTTTGAAAATGCCATGTCAATAACGCATGCCAAAAATTTCACCTCGTGAAATTCAAAAGGTTTTCCATGCAAGCACTTGACTCCAATCGTTAAGTTCGTGTCGTAACTGCACGCTGTTGTCGTCTGTATTGGCATTGCTTCAGGAAAACTATCTACGCCAATTTCTGGACGATACTTTCTCAAATTACAAAGCTTTCCAAGCACTGGGTTCCGATCCGATCGTGGTCCGATTTCGGCTGTTCCGACAAATGAGCAGCATTTTGGTGAGAAAAAAATATGTGCACATTGTTTTATCTATATTTCAAAAACTGAGGGACTACAGACGGAAATGGTTAAATAAATTTGTAGGACTCCTACCCTTTTTTCAGGTGTTATAAACTTTGGGATCAGGGTTGATAAGCTTTTAAATTATGAATTTTAAATAATGAAGTGAAAAAATAATTCTTAATATAAACTGACTAATTTTATTAATTGAGAAAAAAGTGTTGCATGCCCGATATAACAAAAATATGGTACAAAGCATGTGCCATTAAGTTGCAGTGCCACCGAAAATGTTACAACAAAAAGGTGAAGCTAATAAACGCATTACAAAAAGCGTTTTAATGTAAGCTGATTAACACATTTGCGGGAAGTTCTAGAAAAAACTTTAAACTTATACCCACAGATGACGAATTGCGCAAAGGGTGATTTTTTCGAAGATGTGATAGTAATTTTCTGCTATATGTTCATTTTTGGAAGTTAACCTAATTTCAAAGCTCTATACTAAACAAAGGCGTGATTAAGTTTCGCAGAGTGGTGAAAAACGGCATTGTTTAAAGATGGAACGGGTAAATAGAATAGAGTGTCTATATAACTTTAATAGCATTCTTAGGCCACTCGCCTATAAATAATCTTACTAAAATATAAATGTAATAAATAATTTAACAAAAATAATAAGCAGTAAAATTCAAATATCAAAAATGACATAATTTTATTACGCCTGCGCTTCGAAATGAGCTCATCAACAGTCGCTACCACTGCGATGACTTCACTGCGCCTAAAAAAATAAAACAGAGATTTAAAAATTCAAATTAATTTTGCAAAATATAGTGAGCAGCTAACTGTCAATGCAAATTAAAGCAACAAAATAAATATACCTGAATAAAGCTTTCAAGAAAATCTAAGCCAGCAGCTTATGAATCTCGTTTATGCGCAATTTGCATAGAAAACAATTGCAAAGATTGCAGGTTTTGACAGGCGTTTAAAACAACCAGTTGGTATAATTTAAATCCACAAAGTCGCAAATAAAGCGTTACTAATTTATGGTCCTCTGCTAATGAAGTGTGAGCGATAATGAAGCGGGGAAAGCGCTGAAGACAGGTTTATAACTTTGCTGCCTAAAGAAATGCCAGTAGCAGTGATTAAGGGATTTGCTTTGAGGTAAAATTAAAAATAATATTTGGATATACTATATGTTTAATTTCAAGCAATTTTCAAATGCAGAGCTGGCATCATAAATGTATAATCGTTTGAAAGCTTTGAAATATAAACGCAAATCATATGGGCATTGAAGAAAATCTTCATTTAACACGAGAGCATTTCAACGATGCATTAATTCTCTAATTCAAGCTAAATTATTCAAGTGAAATTGCATAATATTAAAACTAGTGCCGAACAAATGCAATTTCAAAAGCGCGTCAATTAGGCAAACTCACATATATAAATATATATCGCCACATAACATCTAAAATTGTGTAGTAATCCATTTCGAAATGCTTTTGAAGATCCTTTGTAGTAACATATGCGCTTCTAAGTTTAATAGCATGGGAGTTTGCTTTTGTTGTATTTTCATTAGCAGACCTTTGAAGCTTTTTAACTGCATTTTCACCTGTTTTTAAAAGCTTTTAGTTCACGCACGTTTGTTTATTTACTCGCCTATTTGGCCATTTGCAGCTGTAAACAATACCACTAACGGAATATTTGTTCAATTGACAATATGTACCTTTGTATGTGCAATACCTATACGCATCAATTGATCTGTTATAGCTCATGTCCTGCTGTTTATATTGCACGGGTAAACAAAATTTGTGGCGCATTACAATTGAAATTAGCCATCGAGCGTAAATATAATACTTAGCTGGACAAATTTTAGGCAAATGTGGAATACATTCGACCAATGTTAGCGAAAGGTAAATGAGTGTTATAAAAGTGTGTAAAAGCGTAATAGTTACAATATGTATAGTGTGTGCAATTAAGAAGGTCATGGCAAGCATTTGGCAATTAATTGAATTTTGGACTGAACATACTGATCATTTATATTCATACATACGTATGTATATATTTGACAGGGTCCCCGACGTTTCTTTCTGGGTGTTACAAACTTCTTAGCAAAATTATTATATCCTGTCCGGGGTATAACAATCTCTCTTGTAAACAAGAGCTAGCTGTAGTACGATCTCTTACCACCGAAATCCAATTATGAAAACCCAAGTTCAAATAAGATTTTCTAACAACGAAAGCTATTTGTCTACATATCAGATAATTCGTATCATGCAACATATTCAAAAATTCTACATATCTCAATAGCCGCTCACTTACAATTATAAACGATCATTCGAAGTTCATATACCCTCTGTACTTTTACTTAATATTCAGACCGACACTAAATCACACGATTTCTGCTGTTGAGTAGTTTATCCCACTAATCTTATAAATTTAACAAGATTTCGCCATACAAAAATTAAAGTTCTTAATCTCGTCTCCAAGGTGATTTGAATCTAAACTACGCGAAAACTCTCTGTGCGATACTCATTTAGCACCATCTATTTGTCAGCATTGGAAATCGATTACATTATCACAGCTGATTTAGACACTACAAAGAAAAAAATGTAAGCAAGCAAATGAATTGTACGCAATTGATCCGAATTCACCTGAAAATCGACTTCCCAAATAAATCCATTATTTGCATTATATGGAAAACATTTAAAAGAAGACGGCTTTTGTAATAAAATAGTATACAACAATGTTTTCGTTTAATAAATGGTAAGCGATATGAATTACTGAATGGGCTAGATTAGTGAAGAGCTTAATAGCGGGATTCTGTAACCAGTCTCTAGTCTCTATTTGAGACATTTTGTGGTAAAATCTCAATTTGTGACTAGTTACTATTCACTAAACAGTCTCTAGCTTTAGTCTYAAAATATTGACTCAAATTTGAGACCTGGTAGTTAGCAAGTCACAAAACCAAAAAGAACTCTTGTCTGCCATTTAGAATATACTGAATAGATATTAATCGATTGTCGTTTTTTTATATTTTGTAAGCAACTCAAACACGAAAAGGTTAAAAATAAATAAATTTTACATAAATTTCGTTAATATTATGAAACAAAGTCAACATATATTTTTATTTTTATTGATAATTATGTTTTTTAACTATGTTATAGAAAATTTAGTATTTGTTATCGACATATTTATTTTCATTCAAGTATAAAAACATCTCTGAATAATGAAATGTAATAGAGTTTGTGACTATCACTTACAGAATAGCAAAATCTTCTCAAGTCTCAAAAATTGTCTCTGTCAAATTTAGAGACTTGATACTGTATCACAGTACAGAATCGCACGGTAAATGTCACCTAATCACTTAAAATTTTTGGTAGGTACATTGTGTAAGAAAATAGTGATAAAGTAAAATACTTTAAAATTATTTGCTTGAGTAACTATTTAGTCTATAAAATTCTGTGCTAAAAGAAATTTGATGGGGTTAGCGTTGGAATGACTATATCTCCTGCTTTCATAATAATAAAAAAAGCCTTGAGCGATGAAGAAGCGGTTATTCAAAAACGTTATCCGAAGATTTAATAGCTGTAGAAGCTCACAAACTGCCGTGATCTTTATTTGAAAATTATTTTATTTTTATTTTATATTTCTTACTACATTATTATAGGCTGAATTATTATGAAAAACATTATATGTATTATTGCTTTTTCCATATTTGGTTTCAACGGAAACAGCAATGCTTTCGCAAGTTGTCTAAAATTTATCATCTTTTCATCTTTGATTCATCATTTTTCTTCTCGCTCGTAAATATATTTGATAAAAAATAAAAATAATTATTTGAATACATTCGTCGGTATACGCCAGTATACAGTTGCTTCTCCGATTCGCCATACTCGAACGTTTAACACTAAATTTCTTATTACAAATATTTATTAATTAGAGATTTGACATTTGTTATTTGGATAGCCATAGGTTAAACATTTTTGCAACCGCAAATTGGTTAAGATAAAAATATTAAACTTTTAAGTCATTAATTTGTTCAAGACAAACATTTCAAATCAAAACTTAAGAATCTTTTTGGGTTGACGTATTTCCAGAATTTTTGGAACTGAGGAATAAGAGACATTGATGTGTGTACTCTTACCATAATATCGGTTACAAACGTATTCTTCTACTTTTGTAGATTTAAAGATTTCTCAAAAAACTCTTCTTTATAATTTCTATAAGTCTTTTATTGTATCGAATGTGATTATTATATTGTTCCACTCCACAATGAGATAATGTATAATAAGTACTTAAATCTTCGAATATTTAATGAAAATAATAAATTTCATAT